GTCTTTTCCTTTTTCCAGAGCAGACAAGTTACTTCAAAAACTGACTTGGCAGCTGTAAACTTTGTAAAAGTTTCGAATACTATTCAATTTGGTTCAAGGCAGCCTTGTAAGTTTCTTAGCCGAATGAAAGCGTCCTCTTTGGAGGCCAAGCCAAAAGTGATTGTCATAAGTGGTCCTACTGGTGTTGGAAAGACTAGGATATCTATCGAATTAGCAAAGCTACTGAATGGAGAAATTATTTCCGCAGATTCTGTTCAAGTATATCGTAAACTAGACGTAGGTTCCAATAAGCCTTCCATAGAGGAAAGAAATGGGATTGTACACCATCTGATTGATATAGTGGAACCCACTTATGAGTTTAGCGCGGGAGAGTTTTTCCAACGTGCTCGTGAAGCAACAAAATCCATTCTTAGCAGACACAAAGTTCCTATAGTCGTTGGTGGTACTTCCATGTATGTACGTTGGTATATTTATGGATTGCCAGCAACACCACCTGCGACAAATTCAGTGGCTTATTATGTTTCAACGACATTAGAAGAGCTGAATGGGAATTGGGACCTTGCCATTGAGTTACTGGAACAACTGGATCCAATGAGAGCAACTAAAATATGCAGAAATGATTGGTATCGGCTGCGAAGAGCATTGGAAATTTATTATGCTACAGGCAAGCCTTTGAGTGAGTTACCACTACAAGGAGGTGCTCCCAATCCAAAAAAGTTATTACAGGGCATACCTGTGACTGATTTGGATTATGACTTTCGTTGTTTCTTCCTTGTTGCTCCACGCAAAGAGTTGAATAGGTTTATAGATAGGAGATGTGAACGAATGATTGCTCAAGATGGTATTTAATTATCCGTTTTGTTCCTCAGGTACTTTTATAGCATTTCGTATTAGGTCTACTGAAGGAAGTATTTGAGCTTTTGTATAAGAGAGAATTGTCGAAAGACTCTTCTGCCGGAAAAGCTATCGGTTATAGACAGACTATTGAATATTTAACCAATCATGAAACAAATGCTTTGGATCAGTTCATGAAATATTTAAGAGATTTTCAGAATGCTTCGAGACAATATGCACGAAGACAGTTGCAATGGTAGAAAGTGATAGACTACACGTACTTTATGTTAAAAGATTTCGAATAATTAGGTTTCGAGGAGAAGAGTTATTTCATTGGGTACCTGTTGAGATGTTTTCGAATGATATTTCACATGTTGCTCCGATAGAGTATATCATGCATTGGTTCGCTGCCACATCAGAAGAGTATAAAGAGTCTACGAGACAAAGAATTGGCAAGTATCTTATATTTCTATGATCGTCTTAGCGATTTATTGACTAGACCCATTTCTATATTTTTATAGATGCTGAGGTTCGAGAGATATCTTTAAAACAAGGAAAAGAGATGAAAACGTAAGCTGATATTCTGTTTATTACGCACACACAAATACATATGCAAATATGTATATATTTGTTCAATGATAACTATAGGTATACACCTGAGCTAGTATTGTTTCAAGACCAGAATTTGATCGAGTCTACAGTACGAGAAGCGTGTGACTTTCAATTCAAATTAAGAGAAGCTTGAGACAATTGGTAAAATTGTAAATCGCAAGTGCTCAGAGATTCTGGTGGAGATTGGAGATGGCAAAGCTATCATTTCTTTCCTGTTGTAGAGCCCTCTTACAATCCAATATTTTGTATAGTCCAACTCAGAGTTGGGTTACTAGGAAGTTCATCTTAGTTTCTAAGTCAGTAAAAGTCGGAAATCGACAATTTGGAATTTTTGGTTCATTTACAACCGAAATCTCGAGAAAGGAACAGACTACTCAACTGGGAAAAACGCCACATAACCAAAACAGCTTGGAAGCAGTTCGTCAGTCTTGGCTAGATTTCTTACAGACTGTTACAACTGGTCCTCAGGGTGTGGGATATCTTCTTGGCGCATCAGTGAGAGTCAGCTACTTCACAGTGATGTCACTCTTAGGTTTGAAGATTGTCGACAATATGAACCAACTGCGAAAGTCGAAGAAAAGAGGCATCTCCCTTGAGTTATGGAGGTTAATAGTTGGTATGCTGGGGGAATGTTTGACTGCTTGTCGTCAAGACTACAGTAACATTCGTTATGGATATTACAAGTTGCCACCCTTGCCAACTAGGAGATGGAACGATATATTACCTGCAACTCTCGACTATTTGTTGGATGTGAGGATGGTCCAAGCAAGGTAATGTACACGATAAAGATGGGTTTTCCGATAAACAAAACATATAAATATATCATTAGACGCCGTGAAAATCGATATAGAGAAATTCCTCCACTGATAAATAGTGACTTCCCGGAGTACTATAAAAGAAACTTTCATTTTCAAACGGATGGTTATCTTTCGGAATATTCTGCCAAACTGTATGAATTTCAAGTGGAGGTCTTATTCAATGGAGTGGCAGATGTTATGAGAAGACAAGCATTGGTCCCTTTGTTTAACTATGTACATAGTCACTCCATTAAGCACATGAAGTTATTACATGTCGCTTGTGGAACCGGAGGTATTCTTTCAGATTTGGCCGAAAACTATCCACAGCTAAGAATTGTAAACTTGGATCTCAGTCCCTATTATTTAAGAGAAGCCAGACGCAGACATGAAACCTATTCTAATACTTACATACGTTTCGTTTCTGGTAGAGCAGAAGAGCTCGTCTTTAGAGACAATTCCTTCGATGTCCTGCTAAACATTTATTTGTTTCATGAACTTCCGCCAAACGTTCGAGAACAAGTAGCGAAGGAGTTTTTTAGGGTTCTTAAACCGGGAGGAATGCTTATATTTGTTGATTCCATTCAAGAAGGCGATCGCAGTGATTTGAATCGACTCTTACAAATGTTCCCTCAAATATATCATGAGCCAGTAAGTTTAATCTAAATTCGCTTCTCTTCATTTTAACTATTTTCCAGTATTATCCCAGTTATGTGAAGACTGATTTGAAGACTCTGTTTGAGTCAGCTGGTTTTCGATCTGCAAATATTTACATTTCGTGGCTTACCAAAGTATGTGTATTTTACAAGCCTTAGAAAGTAACAAGTTGTCTCGAGCTATAAAATTTATTTAGTAATTTGGTTTCATGCATAGCATTTAAACTCATTCTTTTAATGTATCGTGTTTGATGAAGCAAAACTTCGAAACTCTTCCGAGTTGTGAGTTGAGACTGGCAACCTTTCGTACTTGGAATGCTGTCGGCACGATAAGCCTTTCAACTAGTCATTAACCTGCCGCAACGACAACTTTCCCTTTTGGTTCAGCGACTTTATTATAGTGGACATTGCGCGATGCTCTACAATATGGAATTTGTTGCAAGAGTTTGCTGAAAACACTTTTCGACTTGAGAAATTATATTGTATGCGAGTCCCTACCCTAGGATTCAGACTTTCTTTGGGTTCATTAGCGCATCTTGGTTACTTAAGACTTAGAATCGGTTACAAGGTACATGAATCAATATTTGATAGACTCTGTTGCAAAAATACTTTAGTTGACCTCTGAGACTCAGTGAACAGGCTCGGTCAGAACGATTACGTATCTCTTTTTGGTTTCTGGTTACATGACTGTAGAATAACTCCACGGGATATGGCTCGAAAAGCTATGAAGCACCAATTTCATGCAGAATACATTGGAGATATATTTTGAGTATTTTATGCTATTTGTCTTTCAATTATGAATTCTGAAGAAGGGCTGACTGTTGACGACAAAATACTGAATATAATAGTACTGCTAGTTACAGCCCCGTAAGCAAGTGTTTGCATCACTTTACAAACTGAATATTTTAGCCACACATAAACTGTAAAAATACTTTTTATAGTACATTTTCCTGCTGGATTAAAAGTGGCACTGCTCTAGCTGCGTCTTCACGAGGATACTCACGTATTCAACCAATCAGCGATTTTTGTTCTGACTAGTGCACCAGAAAGTTGAAGTTTAAACAAGATATATTCAACAAGCTTCTTAATATTTGATAGTAGCACGGCAATTCTTTCACAAGCTAAAAATAGCAGAACTAAAAATTCTCCGTCCAAAATTTCTGAGGGCAAAATGTCCGAGTTGGTTATTTCTCGATACTGGTTGGGATCTGTAACGATTAGTTCGCTAGGATGCATAGTATTGTTGGACTGGGTGAGGCAAAGAAGATACGCTTCTTGATGCCCTGAACGAAATGCAATCACTACTTCAGTCTATGAATTCAGCCATAGCTGATAGAATTTTGCTGAACATTTTAGATAGTGTGTACTGGAGTCATATTTAAGACTATCGTTGCGAAAAAAGTATTTTTGTTCTTTTCAATAAAGACTCAGTTGCTATTTTAGTTGGAGTGTGCAGTGCAATTGCTGTCAGAACGTCACTGGCAAGGCAACCCTTATCAAGAAGCGAGCAACTGTCGCTCAAGCTACCAGACAACTTAAAAGGTAATACATTTTGAAGAGCATGAATAAATAGACTAAAAGTCCTCTAAGTCCAATTTAAGAGGCAACACATACGTTCAGATACCAAGTTGACTTCTTCCTGTAAAGTATCGCTTGGTTATATCNAGTATTAACGACGCAAACAGTCCTCTATTATATAGTTGAATAGTCATCGTAAGGTCTTTTTTTATTGAGAATAGTCATTCATCCAATTCTAGTATAGCAGATGCACATTCTAAAGCGTCAGTTCTTTATTGGTATGTACAAAGTGTCAATACGTTATCGATGTTTGAAGCCTTGTTAACAGCATCTCTTTCAGACTTTTGTCACAAGTGGTACTAGTATTGAACAAATATCGATGCCAAAGCTTTGATGTCACCTTTTTATGATGTTGTAGAGAAAGCAGACAGGGCAACGATAACCTGGGTCATTCGTGTAACAGAGTTGCTTTAAAGGTTTGCCACAGTAAAGATAAGTAAGGTTCCTGGATAAATATGAGGTTGTGCTCTATTTTGAGTGAAAAGGTTCGACAAGCCATTTGCGAAGTCAGAAGTAATTCTTTATGAAACCTAACACTGTGGGGATTTCTTAACCAACTTTCACGCCTATCGTATCCTATGAATTTAAATTAAAACGAATCCTACCACTTGTGTAGGTAGTTAGTGCAATCCAAAGTGCATCAATCTAGGAACGGAACAATATAGACACTTCCTTCTTGGAAGCGAGCAAAAGGAGCGCCAGCCAGTAACCAATACTGTTCCCCATAGTTTATCAACCGAATTTGCCAACCCAAATTGGAAAACGGCCTACTTTCCTTCCATAACCAACGAGACATTGAAAGATTCTTCTCTGTCCATGCAAAACTACCTCTTGCTCGCTTCAGTAGGAATACAGTACCTCTTTCATGCCATGAACCAGGAGCTGAAACAAGTAAGAAGTTGCCATTTTCGGGAGCTTCAACTGCAAAACCAAACAGGTCAAAACTTCCTAGTTGAACATCGGGTTTATATCTTTGAATATTTTTGAGTCTAGCAGATAAAATATCTTGAGTACCATCTATTAAATAAACTGCTCCACAACTACTCTTCGCGAGATGTCCGTCGTAGCAATCTTGTCTAGGAGCGCCAACTGCCAATGAAAATGGATAAAGTGACACTAAAGAAGACCCAAATGCATCACCTCCTTCCATATCATGAGGTTGAACTTCCATGTGATAATTCAACTTCTCCTTTTCCCACTTATAGATAAATACAGAACCGCAATAACGCTTTCTTCTCTCGATAGTATCCTTGTATTTCCAACAGGCTGTACCTGGAGCCCCAACTGCAAAATAACTATCGTTCCAAAGACTAACTGCTTCTCCGAACGATATCCAAGAGAGAGAAACACTGGCTTCAACACTCCATTCTTGAGGAGGATTAATTGTTTGAATATGCTTCCAAGAATTTGTGCCAATAATGTACTTGTACATAAACACGCAGCCACAGTGATGTCTTGCATAAGACCTACCAAATAACCATCTAAAAAATGTGTGGCGAATTGGACAATACCATTTGGGTGCTGATATCAATAAAAAGAGATTGTCTTCTTTACAGAACCATATAAGTCTTTTTCCATACTCTGAATCTTCATTCCAGCCTTCAATTATAGTTCCATCGATATGTCCCTTGTTATCCCATCTCGTTCCGTCTCTTGATTTCTCGTATATATCAATTCTGCCCTTTACAACACTAGATATTGCTATCCAATTACCCCATAGTGCGACAGCTGTGCCAAAGTGTTCCTTCTGCTGATAACAGCTTCTTGTCTCTTCTGAGTGCAAGTCGACGTCCACAATCCAATTGTTTGCGAAGACTCTTCCTTGGGAGGTGTCACCTTTGGGTTCCAATATAAGAACGGCGTCCCTCCCCGGTACACCGATGGCAACCAAGCCACTTTTGTTCTTCTCTGAACTATCAGTTGCTATCGAGAATCCGAATCTTCCCGGACAGCTGCTTTCAAATAACCCAAAGTTCGGTGCTACATCCTCTCCCTTCAACTCAAAGCCGGATACTGTGGATTTCCTTCCACTTTCTGCCAAAGCGTTGTCCTCTAATAACACAGCTGGGTTAGCTGAAACAGTTGCCAAAAATGCTATCCACAAAAACCAAAATGACTTCTTATCCATAACCAATTTTTTGGGATTCTGCGTACTCAATGGGCATTGGACTAACTACCACTTCGTAATATCTATTGCATTTCCAACCTTTTGCTACATAAAAATAGTCTATTTGCAGCACTTTTTGACTACAATAAGTAGAGAAACTTGTTGGCTATTTTTATGCGAAACTCTACGAGACTGGTAATTCCCAAGAAACAGTGCGAAAGTCTCACCTAAACGCTCTACCTTGCAATGTTGTTTCTCAACAACTTGTCTATGAGCTGATTGTGTTGTAGATATAGAAGCGAACACGGTAGTTCGATTTGTCAAGCGAGCATCACAAAAGAGATGCCAACTGTAGGAACCTAATTAAAATCTTGAAGCAGAGCAGTTTCGAGTTCGTGTATGAAAAGTATTCGTCTCAG